GTATCCCATACCATATGACGTCATGCTCAGCATATAAAGCTGGGGGAAGAAGGAGGAAGGGGGGATGTTCAGAGTGATGGTATTTGTCTTCCCAAGTAACCGTCACACATGATGGAACCCTGCTTTCCTGGAGATGGCTGAACACCTGCCTGCCAATGGGAAGGAGTGAATGAATTCCTTGTTTTGCTTTGCTTGCGCACGCAGCTTTTGCTTTACCTATTCAACTGTCTTTATCTCAACCCACGAGTTTTCTCGCTTTTACCCTTCTGATTGTCTCCCCCATCCCATTGTGGGGGGGTAGTGAGCGAGCGGCTGTGTGGTGCTTAGTTGCTGGCTGGGGTTAAACCACGACACCAAGCAAAAGAAGAGAGTTCAAAACTTGTATATTGTATTCAGATACATCAGGGAAATATTTACTTGAAGTACTAAAGTACAATTAAAGCGTTGCCATGCAGGTGCCTTAGGCATTGTTTGCATGTAATACTTTTCATGAGTTTCAAATCTCTCTCTGATACATCTATTGGTTCCTGACTCTGACTAAAGAAATTAAAAAGTGCATTCTTCAGTATTTAGACAGTAAGTGTGAACAATGTTTTTCATGCACTGAACCTGGCAATGAGTATTGCTTTGTAGCCAGTGATTCATAACTTGCAAAATATAAAATTTAATTGTGTTTCATTTTATTGGTGAGATGGGATTAGACTGGAAAACATACCTTGAATATGTGGTATCTCTGTATCTCTTCACAGCTGAGATTATGGTTAAAATTCTAATCTAACATGGAACTGCCCACATAACTAAAGCCTGTCTAGTAAACTAAACTCCGCACTGGCATTGTTCACGAATGATTAAGCTAATGATTCCATTATTTCATTGGAGTTACTTCTGCTCCACATCAATGTAAGATATATAGCAATCACAGATCCAGAAACGTCTGCATGATTACACATACACACTGCACAGCTTTATTTTTTTCATTCTCCTATATTTCTGAGCTGCCTGTTAGGGTTTCTTATCCTTTTGCAGAATGCTTAAAGTTTTTGCTGTCTTTCTGAGACATACAGATAGGTCAACATCATGTAAGTTAAACAGTATTACAAGTGGAAATACTGTAATAGTAGTTAAGTACTCCTACTTTTTGAACAAATTTTCCACTGGTAGCCAGTGAATTCTTCCTAATTTATATAAAACGACAGGAGTTGCAACTAATATTGCAACACCACCAGTGCCTTCTCTATTATGTATGTGACAGATTTCAGCCAGTGGCTTTCCATTTCTTAGCATCTCTAATTTCTGATTCCTCCTCTAACTTCTCTTGTCACATGCTCTTCTGTAGCATACTTAAAAAGGTCCAGCAATTCTAATGCAATAATAGAAGTGCATGTAATGATCTAGTAATACACCTGTAAAATACATCTCAAATATTTTAACGAGACCCCCAAAACTCTTGCTAACAAACTTACCATTTTACACTTGATCAGATAACCATTTACATCGGTGCTTACTTTTACATTTTTGAGTAGTTCTGTGAAATTCTACTATTGCAGTATTTGCTTAAATTTTTTTCCTTTCCTGAGCAATACGTAAGTGCTCAGCATCTGGAAGAACCCAGCTGTAGCTTGAAAGCACAAGGTGCCCATGCTTTTGTCAGTTTCATGTGATTGGAAATTAGCTGAGCCTGACATTAAAAAACCTTTAAAAGGGATATTTGGGTTATTAAATAGATATTATGATAATTTCTATTCCAACATACGAACCTTATTGACTGCACTGGTTTTAGACACTGCTGCTCCATAAAAGTAAAGTACCTGATATTCTCATACTTCCAACTCCTAAGGAACACAGCGTACTAGCAAGTACCAAAGAAAGCACCAGTTGCAATGTGCATAAAAATAGTATGAAAAGAAGAAAAAAATAATATATTTATGAAAGAATTCTGATATTGTAAGTAATTTGCTCAGCTTAAGATGCTACCATAAGATAGTACTTTTTTATCAGGAATGATATTTTTCCATACCTTTTTCATTAGGTGAATAGCAACGTGATTTATCCTATATCAAAATACTTTTGCTAACTACAGCTGAACCGAAGTATGGAAGTAGATTGAAAGTACTTTTTCTCTCCTGAGGAAAGTACCTATTCCTTTGTCAAAAGTAGTTCAGCTAAAAATGTTATAACTGACCCTGAGGAAAAACCTGAATGATTTATGGTGTACAAGATTTTAATAAAAAATTTGTTTGAAAAGAAAAAACTTCCTTCCAGTGGATTTTCTAATTAAAATCCTTTTTTAAATGTTTGGTACAAAATTAAGTAATTAAGAACTAATCAAGGTTACATCTTCATGTTTTGCTGCTCAGAAAGGAGAATTATAACTTCTTTAAATTCTAAATATCCCAGTACTTTCACATGCAAGTAATACAGCAGGTATCTATGGTTAATTTATGCCAATGATAGTCTTACAAGTAAAGAAGGAAGATTTAATGTAAAACACAATTTATTTGTCTCTGGTAGATAGAAACAGTCGGATTCAAATTCTTAAGAGCCTTTGTTCATGACCATCTATGTTCATCAGTAGTTAGCAGATGATGCTGACAGTTGAAAATAAAATAGAAATTAATGCCTCATGTACTGTTATTGGCAATTTTTGTGGACTTCTACGTAATAATTTGATATAAAAAGTGTTCTAACTTCTTATTACAAGGTTCTTTATGTATTTGGGGAAAAAAGCAGGTATAAGATCTTTCTGTTTCTCATTTTAATCATATCAAACTACATTTGCACAATACAGTTAAATGGTGAGACTTATTAATCCTAATGTTTAATTGCATGGCCAAGTGCACGTAAACTTATTTATTTTACCACTTAAATATTTTTAGTAAATCTATAGATTAGAATGAGATACTGATGCCAAATATTAGGATAGCTTTGTGCTTATATCTTTATGTTGGGTTTGTTGGGTTTTTTTCTTTTTAGGAAGATGGATAGACTATCAAATGCTAGAAAACCAAGGAAGAGAAGTTAAGTGTGTTTCTGAAAGGAATGTAGGTGGTCAAAATAAAAAAATAGATTTAGAACTCTTGACATTCATGGCTCATGAAGTTGTATTTTATTATATCATCTCTTTTAAAACAGATACCTAATAGTCTTAATACAACATATAGGGTACTCTGGAGTTAAAATGTTTGAAAATTGATTTTTTTTATTTTATTTTTCTTTTTTTGAAGGTGATAGTCAGGCTTCATTAACTTGTTAATATTGTGGGAGGTGATGGGCTAATCAAGAATTCAGTAACTATCAGGATTCTGTCTGCCCATTTCTGACATTGGCTGGAGTTCTGGCGGTAGAATAAGAGTTTTAATTGATTTTGAACAAAAGTTAAATGAATCTTGCCCCTATTTGTCTTTCTGTGTTACTTCCCAATACTGAGATATCACCTGTCTCCCCAGACAAGGAGACTACAGAGGTACTTTTACAATCCTTTAAAAGGACAATTTTTGAAGAAAAAATATACTCAAGTATTACATTGCAAAACTTAATGCAAAGTAAATTTTGTTGTTCATATCCTTATGTGATATGCAGCACATTGCCTCAGCATTGTCAGAACCCCTACATCCATGTTTATCTGTAATTATTCTTTTATCCTGAAGAAATAGCAGAAATTAAGTGTTCACAGTGATTTCTGAAACTTATAGAAATGGCACATTATCCGTTCAGCAGCCAATTCCTTGTTTTCTGCTAAGTATATGACTTATGCAAAGTATGCAGAATATTGCTTAGATTTGCTTAAAGAAAAGAAATATTCTCAAAATATATGCAAAAATATTAATAACACTCAAGTGATGACGTTTGTAGAGAAGCACTGAGCACTGGAAAAGTTAGTGTATGATACAGAAGATGGCAGCCATCTGATTGAAAGGCGAGCCCTAGAATAATTTGTGACAAATTCATAGGACAGGAAGCAAGTAGCACTGAATTTGCATACACTTCAATGAAAAAATTGGAAAATGGCTTCTAGTTATTTTTTTAAAAATGGTTGGTTTCTTTGTTTATTCTCAGAGAGCCTATTAGCTTGAAGCAAATGGTGTTGTGCTAACTCACAGTTCTGCAAGTCTATGAATATCACCCTTGAGTTGTTTTAATAAATAGCCACTTGTACAGACATTTACAACTGAAAAAAATGTGTATTACAGTATCAGAGTGTACTTCCTATATATTGGTCACAAATTGCTTCCAGTCATCCTGTTCCTCTGTGATGGTGTTTGGCAAATATTGATTTATTAATAGAGTACTGTCATTTTAATTCAGTACATACATATTTTCTAAGGAATGCACACTACAATCAACATATGGCTGAATTCCAGCAAAGATTTGAAAGATTTCTTCAAGACATCCGCAACTATAGCCAAATGCAATTTTATATTGTGTATCGTGACCTTTGTTATTATTACTTAAGTAGACGTAGGAACAGTGTTGGTGCTTACGCTACTGTTCTCAATTTGTCTGTTTATCTTTTTAGGAAAATATGTGTTCATTATCTTCAAAATAGAAAGACCTTAATGTATATTCTGTGTATACCTAACTGAAAAAATGGGAAAAGATCTTAGTGTAATTTCTCAGAGAAAATGCATACCCACAGCCATCTCTACATGTGTGATGTTGGCTGTGAAAAAGGACTGACTCTTGGCCTCTTCTCTTTCTGCAGACTGGTGTTTGCGAAACTAAAGCTCTTAATGATAGCCATAGAATACAAGTCGGAAAAACGAGAAAGCAGGTATGTCCAATGCCTAAAAATTTTGAAGTTCTGGAATGCACTGTCAAGAATTTTGCTTGCTTTTTTTTCAGAGTGAACATAGCTGTTATATTTTTGAAACATTTCAGAGTATAATTAGTATACTATCACATTACACCATTTCACATAGCACTGAAAGGCTTTTATTTCTGCCCTATGCTTCTTCCCTAAAGTTAATTTAAGTCAGAACATTTAGTAGAAGGTGGGGGGGACAGTGATACATATGTCCCATCTCCAGAAGTGCAATTCATTTTTACTTAAACAAAAATTTACAATGTTTTTTGTTCATAGTCTATCAGTTTTAATTGGAGGTCCAACTTATTTTGCTGAAAAAGGAAAAGTGGAAACCAGATGTGATATCAAAACTCATTATGGTGATGTGTATTCTCAAAATGTCATTTAAATGAGTTTGGAAGAACCAGTTTAGGATACAGGATAAACATAGTATTTATATGGTATCTGTTCTGACAAAACTTGCATATATGAATAATATCATGAAACTGGAAAAGATTAATTTAGCCTTGAAATTAACTAACTGGCTGACTCCTTTCCTCAACCAAAAAGAAAAAAAAATCATTATTATTAGTACGGATTCACAGACAGGAAAAGAAGTGTTTCTTGCAGGTTTTTTGTACAAAAATTCATAAAAATCCGAGTGAACATTGGAGTCAATCTTCTGTCAACTTGTCCATCAGTGTTTTACACAACATTCATTTTTGTATAACAAAAATGTTATAAATGTGCTCTGCAACATGTGGAGGGGCATATAATATGACAATACTGACTCTGAGCTGAATTTTATTTTCCTGTGTCAAAAACTATATTCTGTACTACTGTGGCAAATCTGGAATGATACATATTACTTCATCTTATTTTTGGCCACTAATTATCTAAAACTTCTGAGGACAATTTTTTCTCCTCACAGGAGAAGCAATTCTGTCATTTGAGCTCATGCCAGAATTTCTGAGGGTTTGAAAGTTTATTTTAATGTTTATAATTATATGTTGTCATTTTTCTTTATTAAAAATATCTATAAAACCTATGTGGGACATTTGACATGGAAAATGCAATGTTACAACTGTTTATAAGATTATTTCGATGCCCTTTAGTTGATTTTGCTTGATTCTTTCCTGTGTTATACAGTGATATGTGAAGTGGTGTATGTGTTATTGGATATTATTTTTGCCTACACTATGCTGATTAAGAAATCCTTTTTTTTTTTTTAAAATACCAGATTTTTTTTAATGTTCCGGCTCCCATGGGCTCTTAAAATACTTTTCCATTGAATTATTTCATTCCGCATTAGCTAATGTAAAGCAAATATTATTCTATTGTTCTTTTGTCTCTGAACAGTTTAATCTCTTCCTAGAAAAAAAAAAAAATACCATAGTAACAGCAGTAGAACTATTTACCAGATTTTGTGTTTCTCATATTAGAACATATTTGGTTTCTGTTGGTTCTCCTAAGAATTATTGCCCAACTTTAGGTTGTCATTACTTCAGTTGTCATTTACTTACATGAGTGCTAATATTACAGTCTTTTTCAGTAATAACAGATAATTCATGGCTTCCATATCATTCTTTGCACTAACTTCAGTGGGAGTTGGATTGAGTTCTTAATCACAAGGTGATGCAGAGGATCCCACAAAAAGTAACACAATGTGATACAATCATATATTCCTCCTTACTTAAAGCCATGCAGGTAACAGTTCACAATTAATTAATCTGGTAGAAAAAAAGAGCCTAAAAATTGCAGGAAACAATACTCACAGAAGGATGTAAACAGCTGGATTTTGGGAATACGTATGTAACAAGAGGAGAGCATGTAAGCTAGATATTCACATTTTCTTACAACCCTGATCCACAGTAGTATTTGCTGACTTTATTAACCAGTGATAATTTTATAGTCACTGTTTGGTGAATCACAGACCTACCTGCAGCATATCTTTATTCTACTTGTTCCTGTGCTCTTCAACCCAAATATGTTAAGTACATATTTTTGGTTTTCTAAGCTGGAGCCTTTTAGTCTAACTAGAAAGGTAATGGAACAAAACTTCAGTTTCTCACTTCTTAGGTATACTTGCATTTCCTTGCATCTTATTAAATGAAAAGGTGGGGAATTAAGATAAAAATTAGAATAACATGGTTTACAAGTGCAAGCAGTCTTTGAACAAGATAAATTTGTCATTTGCCAATTATGTTTATTGTTGTTGACTTTGGAAATATTTTATTCTACTTCATATCTTAAGTTCTTATTTGGTAATTCTTCATAAAGATGAAGGGGGAACTGATTATGGTACCCTTTTAGCTTTCACTCTTTATGAGAGTGACCAACAGTAGATATGTGCTGATTTATTTTATGATTATAGTTTAGATTCATATTTTGTAAAACTATTGAGACGTTTTACATAGTTTACGATTTAGAGCAATAATGGCAAATATAAATGAAAATTTAGAATATTATCTAGGGTGGCACCCTTTTATTAAGAACTAGTATTTCCTGCCAGAGCTGAGACAGGTCTAGGACCAGTATTTTCAGGAGCAGAGAAAATTTTCAAAGCGTTCTTTCTCCCTAAGGGATGAGAAGATCTTACTCCCACCAGTTTAATTTTTGTTACTAGTCATAATAGAATATCTATATAAGTAAATTATATATCTGATTTTTTTACTTATACAGGGAGTTTCCTTTTAAGATTAGTTTCATCTGCCTTCATCACTTTGCACTCAGAGCTAAAGAAATGCAAAGTGAATTCAGAAGTGTGTGCAGCTCTCAAAAGCAGTAATGTGAGAGCATTCTAGATTTTCTAATCCCCTCTCTAAGTTTTCACCTCAGTGTTAAGGATAAATCCTTAGTCAATGGCAGAATTTTCATTGACTTTGTTAATGTCTTCATTACATGTAGAATGGCATAAATACTCAGTTACCTATGCAGGCAGTCTCCTAGATGCTGGTTTTCTAAAGTTTTCTGATTTACAGCCAGATTCTGTTAACTCTACCATAGGGAATTTGCGATCAATAGTAATTATAAATCATCAGAACTCTATCCAAGCTAATATTAATGTACAAGTTAGCAGTAGCTGAGCTTCCAACTGCTTGCAGTTGGGTTTTTTCTCCTTTTTTCTTGACTCTTAATAAAGCTATACAAAACAGTAAGCACACCTTGATAACATGTTTTGACAGTATTAGATTGTTAATTATAAACAATTTATGATTTTACAAGATTGCTTAAAAGCAGAATTTAAAGGTTTTTAAGCCTAAATTTAGGTAATATAGTCATAGATATGATAAATACAAACTCATTTTCAAATAATGGGTAAAGTATCTATAGTATGTTTATCTTTTTAGGCAACTGTTTCTCATCAAGCTATCTTAAAGATTAATTAAAATAGCCACAATTAGATTTTTTTTTCTTACCTTTACATTTATATATTTAATAATGTTTAAATTAGCGCTCAGTTATCAAAGAAACCTCTGAGTTTACAAAACATGACTGAATTTAGTGGGCTTCTGACCAGCTGCTAAAGTCTGTACTTTAGTAGTTCCATGTCGCAATATGAGTTAGCCATTCCTTCAACTCTAATTAGTATCTGGGAATATTATAATCAGTTATTAAGAGTAGGAAGCATTTCTTAAATAAGTTTTTGTGTCCCTGATGCAAGTCAAATACTTTAGCTTAAAAAATGGTCTTTCTTGGTTCATTTGTAGAGAGGTTTTGTTTCTTCTGTAGAAAAAATGCTAAAGGAACTTGAGAACATCAACCTGAAAATGTCCCAGTAGAGCTTGCTGAATAGATAGCAAAAAATACCAGTTCAAAATGCAGACATTCAAACTCCTCATCTGAAATCCCTTTTACAGATATTTTTGCCTTCCTTTTTCCCCTTTTTTTTTTTTTTTTCCACATGAGTAAGCAAGAAGGAAAGCCTAACCAGGATTCTTCCCTCCTGCACCCCGTGTTTACTCCTCTTGTTAAATTTTCTCTTTGTCTATCCATATATTTGTTCTCATTCTCAGCAGAAAAACCTTTGAGCCTTGAAGACTTTTAAATAAAGGGTTTTTTTGCTTTTGCTTTGGTGTCAGTTGATTTCTTATCAAAGTGTTTGATTTGCAATTTTTTTCTTGTCGTTTGCAGAAGCCGAAAGCGGTATGCCCTCTTCGTTACCTTTCCTTCCAACCTCAATCCTACCTCCACTCCTTCTAACTTCAGGACTAATTCCTTGCCAAGAACACAGGAAGATAACATCTTTGTCTATCTTTCTCTGTATATACACACACACATATATATATATTCATCTGTCTCTGTGTGTGTGTGTGTGTATATATATATATATCTGCGTGTATAGTTATATATTGAGCCCCCAATCTCAAAGAGGAGAGAGAATAGCATTTTTCTCTCCATTGGTTCTTGTGACTCATGCACTAACTTCTTTGCAGGAAGTACAAAATGAAACAGTACAAGTTTTTTAGGCTTTTTTTTTTTTTGCCCTTGTGGAGTCATTGGTGTATCAGATTGTTGCATTTGAAAAGCAGACTATACTGTTAACATCTCCCCTCCTCTTTTTTCATTTGTACTGTGTTGTGACGATGTATATTTCGTCTTTACCAGCCCTTGTGCTGCCATATTGTCTCCATATTCACACCTTCATTGATGTCCTTCTTTCCCCAGAGTCCTCCTTCAAAACACGTCTTACAATACAGTAGTTCATGTTCTCTTGTAATCTCACCTTCCATTAACAACAACCAAATACCTGATTCTTTGCATTGCTGGTCCTGTTTTAAGCCCAGTTATTCATAATACAGTACTCATTAAAGCTATTGTACTCTTCCAGCGAAAGTGCCATGGATAGTTTGTACTATATGTCACATTCATTTTAATGACATTTATTAAGCTCATTTATGAAGATGTTACTGACTGTATTTGTTTCTCAGTTTTGGTGTTTCTTCGGGATGGCATGTTTTGCATTTTCTTTTGGTATACCATGCTGT